ATATATTATAATCATCAAATCATCATTAACACCGGCAACCTCTAGTACAAGTAGTTTGCATTGTATATTTTAGTCGAATGAATAGTGTATATTAAATATAGCATCAGAATTTTAATAATAATATTAAGAAAATCATCATTTCGAGACAATGTACCGTGTTTAGTGGATCTTGTGCAAGTATAGAAAGGCTTTTTATTCATTTCTTTTTTTCTCTGTTTGATCTGGTCCGAGATACTGGTAGGGTTGTTTCCGCATCTTCGAGTGACAATATGATTTCCGATTTTAGATTCTTATTTGTCATTTACGTCACACTTGTTCTTCTTTTTTTTTTCTAATACATATGTAACTTTTGTAAAGTAGTCGAAAAAATTATAGTTGTTTCTATATATAGATAGAAATACGTTCACAGATGGACCAAGAGACCAAGAGAGAATATGGTCTCCTGCGGCGACAGCCATTTGACCTAATTATTTTACTTTCGTCTTTATCTTATTCTTTTGTCATTATCATCATCATCATTAGCACTATATGAGTGTGAAGACATTAGTTGAGTAGTTGCATTATTTAGTATAAATTCTTCTATGTAAACTAATTCTTTTCGGTCTTGTGCAAATAATCATAATTTTACGTCTTGTCTTGTCAGTCAATCAATTGACCGACATTAACGCCTCTCTTCTCGATCCTTATTAAAATCATTTTAAAGAATGCCAATCGGTCTTTTTTCTTTCTTTCTTTCTTTCTTTTCTATACACGCCCATTCTCTTTTGTTTCAATAATAGAATACGTATCAAAGAGAAAAGCACCTATTTTAATCATTTAATTCATTTTATCGTTGCTTTGTTATAGAAACTTCAATATTCAGAATGAAATAAATGCAACAAAAAAAATAAAAAGAAGAACCATCATTATTCTGTTATTGATGTGTTGTAGTTAACAATCAATCAAGCCATATTGATTTATTTCTCCGTCATGTTCAATCATACCTTCAAAATTGTTGATACGTTTTAACAAGTAAGTTTCCAGTCAGTTACTTAGTTTGTTGAACCATATAAACTGTGTAAATGTTGTGTAATATTTGAAAATCATCACGCGCATATAATATTTGATCAAACATAACTTATAGTGCTTGGTTAAGTAGTTAGATTCATCAAGTAGAATAAAAAGACAGTGGTTGTTTATGATTGTGTCACATTGTGCATACTACTCGATTGTCCTGTCATCTCATTGAATAAACTTGTAATGTAATATGAATACAATGATGATCATCATCTTCATCATATCATTATTAATGTATGTGAACTGCCTCTTGGACAGTAAAGGCAGTCAAGCAAATAGAACAAATATTTATAAAAATAATGTATCGTTATAAGAACATACCTTTTGTGATAAAATCAAAATAGAGTTTTTCTTTTTCTTATCCTGAACATTTTTGTTATGAACGATCTTATTATTTTTATAACAATAGGTTACTTGTTCAATAAAACAAATTCCATCCACATAAGAACTTTTGATATCTTACAAATTTATCTGTAATGTTTATTTGTAACTCTCTAGCATTTCGTAGATAAGTCTGATCTTTCTTGCTTAATCCATTATCGATTGATCAGATGACTATATGAGATAACTACTTAACTCTTTTTGTTCTGGTGCTCGCCTGTGGCACTTCGGATCTTGCGTCACATCTCACTAGGACTGCTACTGATGATGCATGTGTATTATTATTGTTTCATCCCTAATGATAGCCACTACCATTCTATTTCATCACTAGAGAGTAAGTTCAATTGTTTTTCTTCTCTTCTATCCATTGTATATCCTTGAAGAGATTTTATGCTCGATAGCTTATTCATGTTGATGGTGTTTAGTTCAAGTATATATATATTTATATATCTTTTTTTCTTTCTTATGTCAACATGCATGCATAGATAGTATAAAAGATTAATATGGTTATAATAAAGAGATGATGACTAGTTGAGTATATATGCATTCTTAATAAAAGAACTATTATATAATAAATAGGATTTGACCGATATGCATGTATTCAAATAAGAAAAGAAGACATTAACTTCAATGTCATATATTGTTTTATTGTTTAAGCAAAAAAAAACAAAAGAAAAATTATCAGTAAAAATGATTACATCATCTTCAATGAAGGAATGCTTTTTTTCTTTATTATAAGGTTCATGTAAACTAGACATAAATACACCGCTTTTCATTATCATATGTTATAAGTAGCCTAACGTCATGCTAATAGTAATGATAATAGTAGAATATTATTGTTTATATAAGTAATTGCTGTTTATAATAAAAAAGAGAAACATAGAAACAATAGATTCTATGTTCTCTTCTCTTGATTTTTCTCTGCATTCATTAATTTGTTCTTTTTTTTTTTTTTTTTTTTTGAGAAACAGAACACTAAAAAACTAATTTGTTATGATTGTATATTAAAAGTCGCTTGGTGATTTGCTTCAGACATAAAATGATCAAGATTGCACGCGTATGCACGTACGCATGCTTTAGTCGACCGAGAGACATACTATAATGAATAAATCAAATTGTTCATGAGCGAAACTGACACACACATGCATAAATTATAGAAAAGCAATGTTGAATTAGAATAACTAATACAATTACACTATAAAGTCTATATCAGTTGTCGCCGACTGCCGTTCGTTTGATAAAGCAATCCTCTCTCTATTGTATGAGCTTCATCAGTTGATTTCTGTGCTTGTTTCATTTTCTTTTTCTAATCGGATGTCAGTGTTTCCGAATCAAATTAATGATAGTAAACGATGGTGACTCTCTTCTTTTCTTACTGTCATTTAGTTTGCACGTTTCATGTCCCAATACATACATACATACATATCTCTATGTATATGTGTATATGAAATGTGTGAAAAAATAACTATCATTACTGCTTGTCTGATGCTTAAGAAATTGATTGTATGTCTCGTCATAGAAGTAGTATCATACCACAAGAGAACTATATTTATCTATTTATATACAATTTGAAATCATGCTGTATATGTTTTGTAGTGAATCTAATTGCTTGTTAAAATTATTTTATGTGTCTTCTATATTCTTTGCATCACTATCATCAGTCTGTATGTGTCATCATAAGGGAATTAACTTAGTCATAGTGAACACATCAAACAACTTGATGTGATCACACTTATTTGAAACACACAGTTTAAGGCATCGAATCAACTTTTCTCTTATTTTTTTAATTTTGTCTGTCTGTCCGTCTCAAGTTGATTGACATACGTTCAAGTGGAACAGTAATTGCAAATATTGACGGTTTGTTACAGAATAGACGAGTGTAGATGATGCATGGATAAAATATTGATATTCGATAAGTTAGAGTATCATCAATGTTTTATAATAAATTTTTTCAACGATTTGCTGTATTTCAACAAATTTATCATTACTTGAATGTGAATAAGAGGTGAGATGAGAGATTTCACAGTTGCTACCATTGTATGTATGTGACTTTTTATTTTAACTATTGAAATGTCATCATAATGGTGTATGTGCGTGAAGGTCTAATGCGTATAATATCCATCAGTAAGAATAACAATGTGAAACAAAAATTGATTAGATTTTTTCTCTTGTCATTTAATGTCTACCCATTGAAATAAACATTTGATTCTTTTTGTCTTTTGCTTCGTTGCCCATTCTCTCTCTTTCTCTCAACAGATTGCCGGATTTCCTCTTGTCATCTGTTTATTCTCAGGTATTGTACTAAATTTTACAAGTATCACTTGAAGTTGTGCATCACTGAGTAATTGAGACATGTCTTAATATAAGCCTGTTTTCCGGATTTTGTTTTTTTTTTCTTTTTACTTCAATCATATGTTCATACTACGTTCATTGTTATGGTAAGTACAGCATCTTAATTCCAATCGAATGAATACATTGTCGACATTCACAATTGAATCTTTTTTTTTAAATTTTTATATCTTTAAGCATGAAAAGAGCATTATCATGATCGTGAGAAAAGAAAGAATAATAATATGAAAAAAAAAAAAATAAAACAAAGAACATTGTGTGTTCAATATGATGCAGACAATGATGATAATATGTGAGTGATCATGTGTTTATATACATATACACTGCTGATGATACTAACTACCGATGACACGTATGACATTAGGCGGCGAGACACCTCTATTTGTTAATTGTTATTGGTCTCCGTCTATTAAAAGATGAAAACCATATTTTGTCTGTTTTACTCATCGTCAGATCGTGTCGTTCAGCTAATTAAACTTGACCTCTTCTTTTCTAATCGACTGATATTGTTCCATCATGCGCATACTTCATGAGAATAACAACAAAGAGAAACAAAGTATTATCTTAAGGTCTCTCTATCTCTCAAATGCCTCGTTTCTATTTCTTGTTTGTTTTATTTTATACACGTTTGCCGCTCATTAATTTGACTGTGAAGAAAAAGAATGCGATAACCTTCATCTTTAACTACGTTTGATCTTGTGTAAAAGAAAGAAAATAGTTGATCGTTTTCTTTCGATATTCATTTCACACATTTGTTTCATTATACACATAGCATCTGATATATACAAATAAACGAGTATCAATCTCTTTGTCACATTTTAATAATCAACATTTAATAGAAATAATTACTTTTTGTGAAACACGATCTACAAGAAGTATCTAAGTGTATAGAACAGACACTCTAGAGACCTATCACAAACCGTAGCAGACGCTATCCGGAGACCACCACATATCATGACATATGTTGTTGATAAACGATTATAGACTGTATATTAATGATGGCTCGTTATAATATATTAAGTACTTCTCCACTACATTTTTGAAGGATTAAGTAAAAAGAAGGGTGAAGAAAATATGTTCCAAGATATATAGAGTAAAAGAATCTTCCTGTGACTAGCAGCAACAGTACCTACTTTATGTTTCACATTTTAATATCATAAAGATTGTGCTAACAGTTCTTTTCTTTTCAGATCTTATGTCTCATTTATTCAATAATGAATACTTTACTTCTTATTTTCTATTTAATCAAATTAACAAGTTCAATAAGTCTTCATTTTCCAAATCCATTACAACGTTTTGTTTATGATGATTTAACTGATACAATTATTTTAGCATCTGTAAATCATCTATATTCATTAAATGCAAGTGATCTATCAATTCTATCTGATATTGATCTATCACCATCAAAAACAGATCATAATTGTTTAATAACAAATAAAACTTTTTTATCAAAAAATTTTTATTATTTTTCTACATCATCATATTTAATACCATCAATAAATAATACATTTAATCAATTACTTCTATTAACTAATAATTCAATATTAATATGTTCAACAACAAATCGTGGTGGTTCCTGTCAATTACGTTCATTAATTAATCTTAATTTAATTAAAAATTCTTCACAACGTGTTGTTTCATCATCACCATTTTATCCATCAATTGGTTTTATTAATAAAAATAATCGAATATTATATATATCAAACACATATGATTCAATATGTGATCCATTTTATGAAATTCCAACAATAAGTGGTCGTGATTTAATTCATAATGAATTTTTATCAATAATTAATTTAAATTCTGGTCAATCAGCATTACAACAATCAACATATACATTACGTTTATTAAATATACGTCTAATCAAAGATTTTTTTCTTCATTATTTATATGCATTTGAATATAAACATTTCTCATATTTTTTAACTATACAACAATCTGATATTCATCATACAGGAAAATATAAATTACAAACAAAAATTTTACGTTTTTGTCAAACATTAAAACAATCGATTATTAAAAGTTATGTTGAATTACCTATAACATGTGGAAAAAACTATCATTATTTAATAACTGCAAAATTTTCAAATGAAAAAAATATTGTATATGGACTATTTCGTAATACAACATTAGCAAATTTGACTAGTACATCACATGCTATATGTACATATTCAATTGATTCTATACAAGAAGCATTTTTTCAAACAATAAAACGTTGTCTTGTTGATGGAAAAGGTTATCGTGGTTTAGATTTTATTAGCCCTGATACACATTGTATACCGAGTAAAGTAAGTTGAATTACAAAAATTTATTAAAATAGAAAAATGTTTTTCTATTTAGAATTTAAATGATATCAATGAGGATTATTGTCCCGATGAGAATGATAGGTTTTTTCAATATCCAATTGGTGGACATCAATTAATTGAACAAACTCAACCGATTATTGAATTACATGATACAGTAAATTTTACAACAATTGAAATCGGTTCAAGTGAAAATGATACGATAATCTTTGTGGGTGATGATAATGGAACTGTACATACGGTAAACTTTTCTTTTATTTTCTCTTCTTTTTTCGAAATTATTTTCTTTTTGATTTAGTTTCAAAGTTCAAATACAAATGAGATTTATAAACAAAACTTTCAATCAAAAATTATCATTGATATGAAGTTGATTAAAAAAACGCCAACATCAAAAAATGCCAATCTAATCATATTGACTGATAATCAAGTAATAAATTTCGTTCAAACATGAACTTATGACCGACCTTCTCCAACTCATTTTCAAACTTTGACTTGAAACTTTGCACTAAGACAGATCTTAGCGAAAATAGTCTGCTGTAAAACTTTCAGGTTTTTTGATTTGCTCTTTTCTCGAACCGAGCACATGAAATCTACCGGTGTATATGAGTAGTGTGAAAGGCAAGCTTTTATGATAACTGTATCTTAGGATGGGATCAGCGAAATGAACTGAAAATTCCACAATAAACTAATCTAATGAAGTACTGGCTCTATACGAGGTTTCAAGTTAAATTTTGAAAATAAATTTTCCTATGGCTCCTCAGGGAGAGGTATGGTATTAGCTCAGAGAATACTGTAAAAATCGAATATCTTGTCAACAATAAGCAAAGCGTTCGAGCTGTTCTCATAATATCCGTAGCTCATGAGGATCTGCATGATGTACAAAGTCTCGGCTCAAAAGGAATTAATCAGTTGTGGGGCTTTCTTCATTAGATTTAAGAAAATGCTAATAGCCTATCGCCAGAGACGATGAAAACAAAATAATTATGAATGAACAATACAAACTTCCGTGTTTCGCATCTAAAATTCAAAACGTAACGTTATTTCACTATTGACAACACAATGGAATAAATTATTATTGTAAAAAAAAAGGCGTTCTCTATATACTAGAATTCAATATATTACAGAAGGAAACCATCCAAACTAATACCCATCATTTGTACTTGTATTGGGTCTACAAGGATACCTTCGTCAGACTAACAGCAGTCTAAAAGGATTCGTACTCATAGAGAAGTTAGGACCGTTTTATTAAACGAATAAAAAACCTGCATATTGACGTAAGATTTTATCCATAGCTAGATCTAATGACGATTAACATACCATGAAAGTTTCAGCTGAAAAGACGTCTCTTTTGTTAAGATATATAATTTCCAAAAAAGAATCGCTTGCTATCGATATGATATAAAAATCAAGTTTACTTGAAGATTTAATATCTCGACAAAAAAGTATTCTTGTGAGTCGAAACTTTCATGATATTCTACAGGTCATTAGATCTATCTTTGACTGACATTCTACATGGAAATTCTACTTTTTGCAAGTCCAATATAATCTCAAATGGTAGATGTCAATCCAAGTGATTATATAGTACAACACTGAAAAAGAGTATTCAATCACTAATCTTCGACAGAAACTTGCTTGAAAATTCTACTAGAAATATAGTTCGAGCATAAATATCCGTTCAAGTACTTGTACTATTCACATTTCAAAAAAATTAGATAATTAAGTACTTAGATTTATGCTTTGTTGAAATATTGGATTACTATATGCAAGTATCTGTAACATTAGCTACCATACTGTCAGACTTGATCTACTGTACATTGGCTAGGATAATAAAACATAATAAAATTTTCTGTTCGTTTTTGATTTAGATAATTAAACAAAACTTAAGTATATGTGAACAGTACACAACATGTAATCAATGTTCAAATGTTGCACTTTGTCATTGGTATTCCAAAGAGAATAAGTAAAAATTTAGATTTTTACAACAAAAATATACAGATATATTGTTTATTTTTTTTTCTTGATAGATGTACAGCTACATATGAACGTGTTCATGATAATCGAAGAAATAATAGAATTAATATGTGTACACATATCGAACGAGTTATTCCACAAACAATATCATTAAATACATTAAATACTGAAGTAAACATGTTTTATTCAGTTATATTTCTTATTTTATTTAATTGTCGTTTAGTTACAAGTTGTTTTCAATATTCCATTACAAAATAATAATGTCGATGAATATATGTGTCGATTCAGTGTTAATGATCAAGAAGAACTGTATTATACAAATGCAATTCTTAATCATAATATAGTAAAATGTTTTCCACCTATATTAAACAATACGAATCGAGGTAGAATTTTATTATTTTGTTTTATTTTTAAATAGTATATTATTTTTAGCTATTTATAATATTATTTTATCAATTGATCATAAAAGAACAAATGTAATATTTGGATATTATAATTTAATATTTTTAAATTGTTCAAATTTTCATTCATGTTCATCTTGTACATTATATTCAAATTTATGTTTATGGAATCACGGAATAGTAAAATGTGTTTTTCAACAAGATGATGAATTCATATCATCAAATAATCAGTCTTTTATAATAAATTCTAATCAGTGCCCATTGATGTATTTACAACAACCTATAAATCGTCTAGTTTATCATATTGCTAAAACATTAATTATTCATATTGAACAATGTAGTCAATCGATAGATATTGATTCTTGTCATTTGTATGATTATCGAAAACGTTTTTCATTGATTGAAACACAACCAATATTAATTCGATCAATAAATGAAAGTAATTTATGTTCATTAAAATGTTTATTTCAATGGTCGAATTCGAATAATTTTCATCAAATATCATTTCATCGGCCATTAAATCTTCATTTATCGATACAGTTTTCCAATAAAACAATATCTATGATACCACATACTCATATTTCCTTATATCATTGTGAACATATGGCATTAAATTGTACATCATGTTTGCAACTTGATCCATCATATGAATGTAGTTGGTGTAATAATATGTGTATGTTTAAAAATCAATCAGAAAAATGTTCAAACAATCAAGAATGTTTATTACCAGTTATTCAAACAATTGAACCATTGATTTTACCAATGAATGGTGGAACATTAGTAACAATTAAAGGGAAAAATTTTGATTTATTTGGTCTATCAATTCAAATAGCAAATATACCTTGTCAATTGATCGAAGAAGAAAGCTCGAATAATAAGTAAGTAAAAAAACAAACGATTAGTCAAATTTTATGAAAAAATTTTTCGGTGTGAGTAGAAATAAAAGTATTAATTTAAGCAGAAATTAGAAACTCAAGTTTATACGCAAATTTTTTATTGGTATTTGTAAGCAATAGATGCTCGGTGAGCGCGATAATTTCTGATGAATATGCAAATCTTAGGGTCCTATCAATTGTCTCATAGAATAAATCAAATAAGTGGCGAAATTCTGACATAACGAAAAAATGAAGCTAATATAAAAGCCGGTTAGTAACCGATGACTACTATTGGAATTACTAAATGAAATGTAGCTATTAATACTAACGAATCAATTTTGTTAATTGAATTTCGTTTTTAATTCTTTTGATTTTTACTCTTTTTCCTTCCAGATGGGAGATCCATCAAGGTGATTTCCATCCTGAAACAGTTCAGATCTATCGATGCATACTATCTATCATTGATCTATCATTTGGTATGAATAACATAGATATGTGCCGCGCCAGTCTTTGAGATGTCATCAGTGTTGATGAGCAATGAAAATAATTTCATGTTTCATTATTTCGCATCGCAAAAAAAAATCTCGTCCTAAAAAGGTTATATCAGTAGTTATAATTAACCTAATAGACATAAACTAGAACAGTGCTTTTCGTGACGAGATGAGCACAACGAACGATAAGCACGATGGAAGTCAAGTAGGCAAAAGCTGAAGATAAATACGACTTCAATTGGACGACCTATGCACGTAGATGGATCGGTGTAGGTGAGAGATTTAGTCTTTCTCTATTCCCATTCGCATCTACATCTTCGAGGAAAGAGTTTTTGATCTGTTTTACTGGAAACAAAAAAAAAAAGAATTGTAAGGCAGAAATGTTTCACAAAAAAAAACAAGCAAGATGTTGCATTGTGAATTTATGCAATGTTGAAAATGTTTGATAGACATGTTATCTTAGTCATCGAAGGCAAAGAGAATTTTAGCCGGACTCTAGTTAATCTAGCCCAGATTTTTCATACAGTTCTTCTTCACTTTTAATTGAGTATCTCAATTTCAAGTCGTTGACAATGTATGATCCAATATCTACTTATGTAAAATTCAATTTTTTCACAAAAACTATGTTGCAGTGGAAAATATTGATACTTGTACAAAAAATTTGATGCGCTGTTCAGATCTATCAATCGATAGGAAAGAGAAAGAAGTGTTTGATCCTACCCAATCCTTGTGGTTCTGCCGCCTATACTTGAATAGATATAAGGCACTAGTCATTATTTAATTCTAACATTATTTATTATATTTAGAATCGTATGTCAATCAGGTAATGCTGGATTAAGGTTTCTTACTGGTGTTGTTGGTCTGGCATTTGGTCTTCATGGTCCACGAATTTCTTCTCAACAAATAATTTCTTATATAAATCCAAAAATAAATTCAATTGAACCACTTGTCGGTATTCAAAGTGGCGGAACAGTTTTAACAATATGCGGTGAAAATTTCACTATAGGTAATAGTCATATATCAGTCTTTATTGGAAATCGTTCGTGTCAACTATTATCGATATCTGAAACAAAAATTGAATGTGAAACAAAATCATTTCCTCGTTCAATGGTATATGAAAATCAAACAATAAAAATTCTTTTTGATCGACAAACAAAATTGATGTACAAATATTTTTTTACTATTGTTCCAAATCCAATTCTATATTCTTTTGATAAAAATGATCAATATAAAAGTTTTAGAAGTGGTGGTCACGAAATAATTATTTGTGGTGAAAATTTTAATATAATACAAAATATTCAATTAGAATATAAGCATTTTCTATTTGTTTCACCTTTATTTCGTAACAATACACATTTAATATTCTTAACACCATCAATTGAAGAACTCTATTTAAATAATGAACAACAAATTGAAATAAAAATATATCTAGATAATTTTAATAAAACATCATCATTAATTTATATTAATGATCCAATTATTGATAAGCTCGAACCTATATTACAAACATATACAAATGAATTAACAATTCAAGGTATAAATTTAACTGCTATTGGACATACAAAAAATCAAATTATTGTACATATTGGTTGTGATATATGTACTGTTATTCATCTTCAAGTTGATAAAATTATTTGTCAACCACCACGATATCGTCCAGAAAAATATTCGAAAACAAAACGTCTTTGTTATGATTCAGAACATCCATCAATTATCGTTTCTATTGATAATATACATACACATATTGGATTCATGGTTTATCCAAAAAAACTTATTATTCTCGGTAAATAATACTTTTAATAGTGTAAATAAATAGAAACAAGCTACTTTCATTCCGTCAAAGATCGTTGATACATTAGTATGACGTCGCCAGATTAAAGTTTCAAAAAAACGATGTAGCTGCTCTTGCTAATCATCATCGGAAGATTGTTTTATTCTACTCATTTTAAGACATATTTACTGCCATCCTTTTACTTAATCATGTAGTAATGCAATAAGTTAATAGTTCATATATTATAATGAGACGTTCTTTATATAAAGCCTTTGATTGCGTATCAATATCTGTCACAGTGGGGGTCAAGCATCCGAACTTTATTCTAAGGAGAAGTCAAGTAAACTATGACATTTGACTTGGTTTATCTTTTATGAATGGATCTTGTATTCGATTCTCAATATCAAAGCAATCATAAGTCTGTCTAGAAAGTTTTATCTAGCTGAGGATATTTATGGCATCAAATATGTAATAAAATTAAAATTCAAAAACTTGTTTCTTTATTCAAAGCGTTAAGAAGCTCTCTTTGAGATAAGAGTAACTCAAATGCTGTAGCTTGAAGTGTATTGAAAAATATTTGTACTCGTGAAAGTCCTATTTCATACGATGGCTTCAGGAGGGTGAGATTTGAAGTCATGAGAACTTCTTTTTGATGGCATACTTTTATGAGCCGAACATCTTTTGAACGTTTCACAAAAATCGATTTTGAAGAAAGGAACAGGTCTGAAATCGTATACTTTTGTACACAATCAGATTTAATTTAGATAACTCTATTGAAAACAAAAGTATATCAGAAGAAGTCTGTTCTTTTTTTTTGTCATGTTAAATTCTTTTTTTGTTCAGGTGTTGTAAGTGGATGTTTATTTACAATATTATTTATTGTTTTGATCATTCTTCTAATCGTATCTTTAAAAATTCGTTATGCTCAACGAAAATCTTCTCAACGATATTTTTATACAAATAGTATAATGCCTCATGAAATTCAAAAAGATAAACTTAATAAAACAATAAATTCATTATCAACAGCACTTCCAATTCGTTCATATCTAAATTATTTACAAGTTTGTTATTATTATAATCATTTAACATTTAATAAAACAAAATATAATTTAAAACAAGATATAATTGGTCAATTTAAATGTTTTATTAATAATAATGAACAATTTATGGATTATCTTTTTCAACTTGCAATTCAATCAAATAATAAAATAATTCTTAATAATCTTATTTTAACACAAAGATATAATTTAAAAAAATTACTAAAATTTAATCATCCTTTTATTTATTTTAATATATGTATATTAACATCATATGATACATTTTTAACAAATCAAATTCATTTATTATTATTTCAACTTTATTCTCAATTAAAATTTAAAATTTATAGTGGACCTATTGATGCTATTGAACAAACAATATCCTATTATTCATTAAATATTGATACTATTTTACATGAACATTCAATACGATATAAAACAATACAATTAATTGTTCATATTGATTTAAATGATAATAATTCAAATGAATTATTATTAAATATTACATGTTTAACATGTGATACTATATCTCAAGTGAAACAAAAAATTCTTCATCAATGTAATTCATTAAATCAAATATCAGTAAATGAATGTAAACTTTATTTATTAACAAATCATTCATGTTCAACTTCATCATCATCATCATCATCGTCAACAGCATCATCAAGTGTACCATTAACAAGAAAATCAATGTTAACAAAAGCTCTTTATAATCGTACAATAAACTATTCCACAGCAATAATCAATGATTCATATCGTGATTCACATATTTTATTATTAAATGATATTGATAATACAAATGAACAAGTAAATAATGGAAAAAAATTAAATACTTTACAACATTATGGAATTATTACAGATGGTTATGAAGTTAAATTAGTTTTATCAAAGAAACAAATTAATGATGTTAATAATAGTTCAAATACGAGTATGTAATCGAATTGAATTATTTTATTTTTTCTTGAATTTGTTAGTTAAAACAGGATATTCCACAAGTCTGAACAAAACAAAAAGCTATTAGCGTAATCCCTTCAAAATTAAACTGTGACACCCGATGTAGCTACTGTTGCTAATTACAAAGATATTTTTACAATAAGCAAGGTAGCTCATATATTATAAAAAGATGTTATTCATATATAGTCTAAAATTGTATATCAATGTCTGTCATCGTCCGTGATAGTCTTTACCTAGCCCTTTATCTTCCATAACGGTCACGGACGAGCCACTGATAAAATAACTTCATAAACAGAGTATGACCCTGCCTAATATGCCAATTATATGATCTGATCCATCAAGTGTCCATCTTTTTTGTGTAGAGTCGTTTGATTCAGAATACTCGATTTTGAAGCTAGTTTGTTTGAATCAAAAGTAGTTCTCTATATTTTCTTCTGTTGACTCCTATGTATATTATCTGAAATTGATATCAAAATTATCTTTTTAATAATATCTGGAACTTTTTAGGAAACACTCTTCGATATTCTTGCCATTATTGTTCATTATCAACATCCAATGATAAAATAATATTTAATTATCTAACATCACTTCCGTTATCTAATGTAGAGACATGTTTATTATATGATCGAACACATTATATTCATTTATTAAATCATACCTACGAAGAAATAGATGGGGAATTAGGTAATTTATTAATGAATAATAATTGTAATGAAACATTTCGTTTATTTGAAACAAAATCAATGATAAATTCATTATTAATGAAGTTAATTGAAATTTTATTTATAAATCTTATTCATAATGATACATTTTTGAGTGAATTAATGGAACAATATTCACAAGTTTTTCATCAATATTATGGTCATTTTATTCCATTTATTTTTCAAAATTTTGATTGTTTATTCGATATATCAACTAATAAATGTTTAAATAGTTCATTAAATATTCTTGCAATGATTTTTCAAATAGCTTGTTGTCAAGAATATGAACCAGAATGTTCATTATGTATTGAATTATTAAATAATAAGAATTCTAATTCTACTATACAAAATTGTACATTATTGTTTGCTGATGAAATACAACGTGTTCGATTATATTATTCAAATTTAGAACAATCTTTCAATAATAGAAACTCATCATCAGAATATTCATCAACATATACAGTAAGATATCAAAAAAAAATTATGTTTTAAAAATCTGTTAATTCTTTTTTTTCCTAGGGCATTGATAAAGAATTTGAATTAGATAATTCAATTTATTATAATCTCTTTGAATATTCTTGTTTACATACTAATGAGGTTTGATTGATTTTATTTTCATTAGATTAATATTTCTTTTTATTTCATTTAGATAATTGAACATTTGAAACATCAATCAGCTGATACTCATACTTTATCTATATTTCTTAGTCTCGTCAAAATATTTCGATCAATTGAATGAACTTGATCTTGTATGTATTAAAATATCTACTGTGTTTCTTTTATGCTTTTTTTTTGTTTTAATACATAAATTACTTTTAATTAATTTGAAATAAAACTTCACTTTTTTCAAAAGAAAAATGAACAAGAAAGAAAACTTATCTAATGATGTCAAATTGATGTTAACTGAAGTGAACAGACCAGCAAATACTTAAATGGTATTAGGTTGCTAACGATCTGTTTCTTTTTAAGAACATATGACTCTACGGAGAAACGACATTGCTCAATCATGAGTGAGCCGCTATTCATTCGGATGACTTTTTTTATGAGCAGCAGTTTCAAAAAATTAAAAATGTCAAAAATTCAAGATCTCACTCATTCTCAAGTAGGGTCTTGGTACCCGATCGATTTGCAAGACATTACTCCGTACAAAATTCAATAGTACGTTTCAATCGTGCACAAATATCTATATCATTCTACGGCAAGATACATTCTCTTCGATCTTACTAGCCAATATAGATCATAACGAGTATGTTTCTTGAATGTCGAGAAACTTTATAGATCTAGAGTCAATAATTATTCTATGAGTTTTTAGTTATATCTCATCAATCCTACGTTAAACAAGTTTTTACTTGGTACAATCTTCATGTTTATTTTGTTTTTCGTTTGAACCGTATCTCTTCACAAAAAGGTCACTTTATATCTAAACTAGTAAAAAAGTTTTTTCAATTGAATAAAAATAAACTAAAATAAAATATTTCAACGTCAAGCCTTATTTTCTGAAATAGATTTTAACACTGCAAATATCTTACTTTGAATATTTCTTTGAATAAATGCGCGTCATTAATTCAAATATTATTATTTTTTTTTCAATTTTATTACTAAAATGTCGAAAGAAACTGATGATAATGATAATTCAATTTTTAATTGGTTTGAAAATTGTTGGGATAATTTTTGTTTACGAGCTAGAAAAGATTCATTCGAACATTTACCTTCTAGATTAATCGATAACAGTAATAAAAGTACTCGTTTTGTATCTCAAGCTGGCAAAAAAATTGTTACACGTGATTCAAATTTTGATGGTCTACTTCATGATCCAATTGAAGAAAATATAACTTCAATTCTTCATGCAAATGATAATACAATACCATGGGAAGATTATAAAGAATTAATGCGTATCACAAGTCCATTTCATATAACAGTAGAAACACTTGCTCATGTTATGAGAGAAATGGAAAAACATTGTGAAATGGGTCTTGAATCAAGTACAAACAGTAATAGTGATCTTAAAATGTTACCAACATATGTAACAAATTTACCAACAAAAAAAGAACAAGGTGAAATATTAGCACTTGATCTTGGTGGTACAAATTTTCGAACATTATTAGTTAAACTTAATCCAAATACTGAACCTGAAGTTATTTCTGAAGCACATATTGTACCAGATTCAAAAAAAATTCTTGCAAATGATTTATTCGAATTTATTGTTGATGTATTAAAACAATTTATGATACGAAATAAACTTGATCTAAATCAAGAATATGTACTTGGTTTTACATTTAGTTTTGCTTGTGAACAAATAGCATTAAATAAAGGAAAATTTTTAACACCATCAAAAGGATGGATTTTATCTGATTTAATTGGACAAGATGTTGTTGAAAAATTACAAAGAATTATTTATCAAAAACAATTGAAAGTTAAAGTAACTGCATTAATTAATGATACAGTTGGCACATTAATGGCTTGTGGTGAGTTGATATCAATATTATTATGATAGCTGTTGGTTCTATTCGTTTTTTTGTGTAACATGATCTGAAAGGAGTGTTGAAGTATAGGGTTAAAGATATGGACTCCCACATACTTCTTCCCTACAGATCGTAACAAGCGTAAAAATGAAAATGTCACAAATGCTAGTTAGAAATCATTTCAGATAGTGACAGACGTTGTTGATAAACGATGATAGATTATACATCAATAACGTCTTGTAACTACTTGCTTATTGTATTTTTGAATAAATAAATAAAATGATTAGTGAAGAAATATGCCCTGAAATAGATGGAATGAAATAATCTCCTTGTGATTAGCAGCAACACCTATATCGCGTTTCACATTTTAATCGCACAGGAGCTGCACTAACAGCTTTTGAATAAACATGCATGATATCGGAAAAAAATCAAGAAGACCAGTTTCCATATAAAAATTTCCGAAGTTTTGAACAAAGTCTCTTTAGGAGATGAAACTTTCAAACAATGCATGCTACATATAGTATATATGGAAAAATTTTCTACCTTGAAAGTCTCATATCTCGAAGAGACTTTGTTCAAAACTTCTGCTTTTTTTATAGAAGCTAATGTAGTTGAGTTCTCTAGTTGTGCAAAGTTTCAGATAAAAATTCAATAGCTTAGTCAAATATGAACACGAACCCAAATTCTTTTAGGATTGTTATTGAAACACTACGTAGTATCTATAAGCAAAAAATTATTGAAATCGCAGGAAACACTTGAGAAGTTTCTTTTTTATTCGTCAAAATTTTTACGTTAAAATTTGATCTTTAAAAAAACGCTAAACTCAATATGATCTAAAATTAGAAAAGAAAATTATACATGTAAATAGACTTAATTTGTTTTACTTACTTAGCTTATCATGAGCCTACATGTCGAGTCGGTGTAATTCTTGGTAAGAGAGGTTTTCTTATTAATCAAAATATATTGATATATTTTTGTTTATGATTAGGTACTGGTACAAATGCATGTTATTTTGAAGATATTAATAAAATTCACAATATATCTGATCGATCAGTTCTACCTTCGGAGGCAACAGAAATGATTATTAATACTGAATGGGGTGCTCTCGGTATTTATATACATAGATATTTTTTTTCCTATTCAATAAAATTTTTCTTTTACTAGGTGAAGGTGGTTGTCTTGATATGTTAATTACAGATTTTGATAGAGAAATTGATAAAATGTCAAATAATCCAGGCATACATATATTTGAAAAACTCATATCGGGAATGTATATGGGTCGTTTGGCTGCTGAAGTTTTAGCTACTCTTATTAATCAAGGTATTATTTTAAAAATTCAACGCGATCATAAACAATCTTATCGTTATTATTCACCATTTCATGCACTTTACATGTTACAAACAAATCATATATCAGAAATTGAACTTGATACTGGTCGTACATTTGCCAATACAAGAAGTGTTTTAAAAAAATTAGGTTTAGATTATGCAACAAATGCTGATTGTGCTATTATATCATATACATGTCGACTAATTTCAAGGTGAGAAATGAAAATAAATTTATACGAGTATTTTTTGTTTTTAATTTTCTTTAGACGAGCAGCTATGCTTACTGCAGCAGCCATGGCTGTCTTAATGAAACGATTAAATGAAAATAGAAAAAGTGAAATGAAAAAAATTTGTATTGGTATTGATGGTAGTCTCTATCGTTTTCATCCTCGTTTCAATATGGTTATACAACGTCATCTTAAAATTCTTGCTCCAGTTTTACTTAATTATGAATTACGTATTAGTGCTGATGGTATAAAAATAATTCTTTTAAAATATTCATCTAATCAGTGCTATGTAGGTTCTGGAATTGGTGCAGCTATATGTGCTATAACAGCGAATGAAGCACGTCAAGCTCTTCGAAAAGGTGAAATTCAAAAATCACTCTTTTATCAACAACACACGAAAATTTCGTAATTTGTTACATCTTTGCTTAAGTCTTGTACAACGAATGAAATAGAATAAAAAACACAATGTTCATATTTTTAATTGATTATCTATTAAATTGAAACTCGTATTAATTGAATATTTAGTTTTGTATGATTACTTGAGGAAATATTTGTCGCTTGGTTTTTTTGAACATGTTTATCAATACAATAAACTTTGTATTCTTTAAAATATTTCGATCAACTTGCTTATCCACTACAATGTATGCAGCATGGCTAGCCATCACTCACTCGTACATGAGGAGAGTTTGAATATAAAAGTGAATACAGATGAGTTAAACATTAAAAATAGAAAAATCAATAGTATTTGAAATGAACGGATTTTCTATTCTTGAACATATTAAGTACTCTGGACACAAGCGTAATACGTCGTCAAACAAGGATTAATCAGCAAAAAAAGATTCTTCAATTAGCTATTAATCGATTGGATATGAAATACTCTTCTGCAACATATGACCTTCATAGAAATGTTAGACGTCTACGAACTAAGATAATGCGTTTAACAACTATCTCTATTTTTGATGAAATTCTTTTGTAACAAAACTCGTTGATAGTATAATTTGTTCGCTTATGTTACTAGTTTTCTCAAGAACAACCACGTCTCTAGATAGAACTCGACAAGCTACACTGAACATACTCATTTTGAGTACAGTTTAATGCACTATTTGCATCGGTGTTGTGAAAGTCACATATATTTTCGAAAAAAGAAAGAGTGACTGTAAGTTTTAAGCCGAAATTTTGTGATTCGTTCATTCCAATTGCAGACCTTATTTACCGAGTGTAAGAGACATCAAACATTTTTCCTCTAGTTCTTCAGCAACGGAAATTGTACTGAACAGTATCAGCGACAAGATCTACACAACTCTAAAGAGTTCTAGAATGTTTTAAAATGTTCGTTTAAATTTTAATGAGTAGAATACGTTTATGAATGTTCTAAATAGTAGATTTTTTGACTTTTGAACAGAAAAAAATTTTTTAATCAAGATGTTAAGAATGATAGATCGTGATGCATTGATTTGCCATAGTGGTAGTTTGATCAACATTATAATTGTGAATTAATCAAGTTATAACTTTAGAAAATAATCAATGTCATTATTTGCGAGCTTATCGAGACGTATAAGAGTGTGTTGAGACATGCTGTAGATATAATGCATATCTACAACAGACTTATCTACCACGTAAACAATGGGTTAAAATAATAAGCAGAAAAACTGAACACTAAAAAGAAAAGTAACGAGCGAATAGTAACAAGAAAAACAAAAAAACGACGTCAGTAAAAAAATC